TATATATGAGTTGAGTTTTTAGTATTGTATATTATAATTATATATGAATATTGTATGATTTAATATTGTATGATTTGTGAATATATAATTGGATTACAACAAAGTATGATTTTTGATAAATAATAATGTATTAATGTTGTATGATTTTGTGTATAAAATAATTACTATATTTCACTATAGGAATGTATGCATTAATGTATTAACTTTGTATGCTATGTGTATGAAATGCTATATTGTCTATTACAATATCAGTGTATGAATAATGTATTAGTGTTGTATGTCGTATATTTTTTACTATTATTAAAAGTATTAAAGCTATATATTTTTTATGTTCTGATTTTGATGTATGAATTAATGTAGTGGTACTGTTTGAGTAGTAGTTTATAGTTTAAAAGTCATAAATTATTATTTTTAAAAAAAATTTAAATATGTATTAATATTGTATGCATTGTGTATGAACTAATGTACAATTTTTGTATGCTTTGTATATGAATTGAATTCAATGTCCATTTAACATACCAATATATATATGATTTTATATGACATTATATAGTATGATAAATGTATTAGTTTAATTTACCAATTTTATAGGAGAAGAAGATACAAATACATTTGTCTTCATGTATTAACATGAATGTGTTTGCGGATCTGTTGACCTTCCTAGGACAAGACAAGTTTCAACAATTCTTACAAGAAACACCGTTTGAATTTTTTTATGATTTGCATGACATAAAAATCCAATGTCAGATGTTACGACATATATTTCTTCTTGAAACTAAAAATGACAGGGATGACATGTTTGTTATGAATGTAAATGGTACAAAATTACATCTTGGGTTAAAAGAATTTGTTGTTGTAACCGGTCTAAAATGTGGACCAATTTCTGATTTTGTATCTGTACCTATCAAAATAATTCATACAAACTTCATACACATTTAATATATCATTTACTGACATATACATTATTTCAATTAAACAAAAAGAATATAGTTTCTATACAAAATTAATACAAAATATATATTATAATTTCAACAGAAACATATATTGTAAGTTTAACAAAATATAGATTTTCATACACAATTAATACAAGTTTCTTATAAATTTCATACACAATTAATACAATTTTCATACTTCACCAATACACAGAATTACATCTTCTTACTTTTTGAATATTATCTGAGCAAGTTTTACCATTAAATACAAATTTTATATAATTTTTAGACATTATTCATATATTTGTAATACTTCACTTGTACAAAGAATTATATCTAATTATTCTTCGTCTAGTTAATAAATGTAAGTTTTTCTATTTTATTCACAAATCAGCTGACACGCGAATCTTCAATTTAATTACAACTCAAACACATTTATATTTACTTATCGTTTTTCAAAATGCCATACGTAACTTGATTGTTTATCCAAAAAAAAGAACATACAAACTATATTTTAGATCTAGCAATAAAAAAAAATCGAACACTTTTATACATGTACAAAACAATAAATATAATTAAAACCAACAATTCATAATTAAAACAACAAATCATAACAAAAATCAATATGATGAATTCCACTTTCCACCATGTTTTATTAATATCGACACATTGTTCTCCATCAAATCAAATCAAATTGTTTTCAACGTCAAAATTTATTCAACTACTAATAAAAAATGAAAGTAAAATCTGCAAATCTCAAAAAGATTGTGAAATTTTGGAAAACAAAATGACATGTACGTTCATGCCAATTTGGTAGAGCTTTTCAAGGAATTAAATCAAAAATTAATGTCATTTAAACTAATTTGAGAGAATTAAGGCACTAACTAATCTAAAAAAAATTAAAATCCCTTAAAACGTGGTAATTTATTAACAGTAATTAATAATTATATTTAATTTATTTAATAAAAGATCTCATTTTCCATTATTAATTTTTCCCTTTTTTAATTTATTTTTTATTTTAACAACTCTTTTTAATAATTTAAAATTAACTTTATATATTTTTTTAAAATGCTATAACTTGAGATATTAAATGTTATACAATGAAATTCAAACTCTAGTGCTATAACTTGAGAATATTACTATAAAAAATGCTATATACCTAATTTACATATATATATATATATATATATATATATATATATTGAAACTTTCTTGACAAGGTTTTTAACGAGGCAACAAATAATGCATATCAAAGATATTTGTACTATTTTTCTTTCACTAAAATTTTTTCTATAAGTTTAACAAGGCACATAATTTATGGACATTCATTTGCAAAGAAAGACATGTAGAAAAAATAATTAGAGGCAAAAAAATTACACCATTAGCTGATTTCTTTTTTATCTCAATAATCTTCCATTTGTAACATGTCTAAACATTATAAAGTACATATCTATATCCTCTCAAAAACCAGTTCTCGAGTGCCATCATTGCACATCAAAACAGCAGAATGCTCTTTCACCAGCCAAGATGAGTATGTATGACTGAAATTCAATAGAGAGTTGGCGTTACCCAAGTTGGAGGACAAAAACGACTGAGGGAAACACCATTGTAATGCGACTGAATGCTGCCATCTGCTAGGTTGAACATCCTCATGTCCAACCCTCCTCCTTCTTCATAGGCTAGGTATGTTAAAAAAACAATCGTCTGTGAAATAAATATGATTGGGCTTGAAACTTGGAAATTGACAAACTTGGACTGAGAGAGAATTATTAGCACCTAGAAAAAAAGCAGTGTCCCCCCCCCCCTAGTTCCATGGTTTCCGTCATTATGTCAGCAGCTGAATCGACTTGGAAAACTCGAAAATTGGTTGTTTGTATGTGTATTCATCATCATCATCATCATCTGGAATGAGCTTTAATGGTATCCTGTCACGATCATCTTTGGGTAACCTTAAATGAACACCATCTCGCAAAATTACAAATAATGATCCTAGTGATTCTACAATGTATTACTGTTCACGACGAAGTTAAGGTGGAAGTGGCATGTTTGCTACGATATGATATTTAGTGGGTTGAGTGCCAACAACATCAACAACATCAAAAACTATCACATCACCGGAATAATCCACAACATATATTTGGCCATTAAAATATATCAAATCATAAAAAATCGTACGCACGCGATCGGTTCCTTGCAATGTAACTCTAGTCCATCTAATATCACCTGGTCTCCAGAAACTTAAAAACTTAAATGCTCCTTCAATGACCATGAGAAGGTAGTCAGATGTATGAGAAGGACTAGCGGACAAAACTGCCTTGTTAAAAAAGTACATCTTCAAGTCAGTCTGGTAACGATCGTATTCTACGGTGTTATTTTGATGGGGTAATTCAATTTCAACACCAGAGAAGGGACGTAGCATACTAATTTCACCTTCCTCTTCTCCTACCATGATAAGCCAACCCATAGATTCCATACACCGTTTTCTGCGGGCTTTTGGAATCCTCTTGTTCAAAATCATGCCATTATAGAGGCTGAAGAATTTCCGAATGGAAATTCCGTCTTCCTCTTCCTCCGCTGGCATCAACCAAGGAAATCTAGAAAGGTAACTGTTGAAATTGTCCTTGGTGGATACAAAGTGCCAGGATTTGCAGACATTCCTAAAATTGAGATAGTCTTCGATGAGATTCAAACGCCTAGCAATTAGAACAAGCAGATCATGTTGAAGTTCTGACCAATCAGCCATCGAAAAATCGTATGCAGCAGTTTCCATCCCAGCGTCAACTCTTGCGCTCTCAGCAATAGGGAATACCAGCCGCCATGTATAGATAATAACCTAACAAAAAATCCTAGATCCACCGGACACATCTAATTCCAATGGAAATCTTATTTTGTTATTTTCAGTAGAAATTGATATAATTATATATATATAGGATCCTTCAAAAATTGTATGTATTATCTAAGATTTAATCATTTCTAAGAAATATAATAAATTCATTTCAACGATTTTATTTTTTTTTACAAAAAGTTTTAACATTAGTTGCGACATACTTATGTCTTAATGATATTTGATTTAAATAAAAATAATTAACAAAAAATATTAGTTATTTTATACGTGAATATTCATTCTTGACATTACTAAATTAAAAATATAAATTAAAATACGAAGTCAATGCAAATAACTTGATTATCATAACGAGAAACATATGAATAGAGAAAGAGGTCCTTTAAAAAGCTAGTAAAACATGAAATAAAGAGATCTGCATAAATAAAATTAGAGTGCTATAAAATAAAATGTTGTCTTTGGCTCACCTATGAACAAAATCAAGTCAATATAGTAGACTCTATAACATACACCATCCATGCTAATCAATGTCATAATATAATACTTTTAAGAAATGAACAACGAGCATCTTGAGATATTTCATTTTCTTTCAAAAGTAGTTTAACACACCAGAGAGTCACTATGTTCATCAGAGATTACGTCTAACTCATAATTAATTTCGTACTTAAAATATAGAGCTAAAAAGTGTTCGTACTTCAAATGTAAAGCTAAAAAGTTACTTAAGATCGTTCTTTAAAAAGTTAATTTTAAAAACGCGATAATTTTAAAAAATATAATTAAATATATTTTTATAATTAGTATGCCTCTCACATGATAAATTTTTTCACATAACCTCTTTCTTTATTACTCCACGATTAAATAATAACTTAAATATGGTGATTAAATGTTCTTTTAAAAAAAGTATGCACTTCAACAAAAATGAAGCGGCAATTCTACAACAATTGACAAATGTCATCAAATTAAAAAACCACAAACAAATGTCAGCGCCGAAAAGAAAAACAGAATTTATTAATTATGAAAATTATTTTTAAAATGAAAAATAAAAATGAATCCTATTCCCTTGGTTACAGTTTTTTATTTGATTTTTTGAAGAAAAAAACTTAAAATTTATCATTAAATTAGCAGAAGTAATTTAAAACGTTAAAAAATAAATTGCAAACGATAAGAAACACTGTAAAACTTAATTAGCAAATATATTTTTAAGCCAGAAAATATATAAAATAAAATTCCAAATATTAAAAAAAGTCTTCTTTCTTTTCTTTAACTCCGTTCCAAGTCAAACTAGGTCATTCTTTTTAAAACGGAAGAAATAATAATTTAAATTTATTAAATTATCTAATTTTACGTTAAAATGTTAAAGATTTTTTTTTGCAAATTTCGAATTTACTTGGTTATTAAATATTGGGAAAATTATATGAAATGGCAAACATTCATAACTAATTATATCATAGGGGTATAGTTTAATTTATTTACCTTATATAATTATAGTTTAATTTTTTTTGCTATAATTAATGGGATCCGCAACCTATTATGTAACCAATAGTATAAAAACTTTATTTTCTAATTTTGTATATAATTATACACAAAACAATTTTCTCTCTCCTTTTCACATTCCAACTTTTTCTCCTACATTTAATACTCCAGCTATTCGGTTTGAATTTCAAATTGTTGTCCAAAACTAGATTACTCCCTCCCGAAGTTGAAGTTACCTCCCGAAGTTGAAGTCAATTTCGTAAGTACTCCTTAATTTTAGTTGTTTACCTCTTCTTTTTTTTTACTTATTCAAAATTTGTATATGTAACGACCTGTTTAGTCGTTTTGAGCAGCAGATTTTATTCTGGAAAAACAGGCTGAGGCGACGGACCCAACGACGGACCGTCAGGGGCACGACGGACCGTCGCAGGGTCTCGTTTCAAAACACTTAGAAAATCTGAAATTGGGTACTGAAAATCGACTCTCTGAACTTCGTAATGGAGTGGCAGGACGGACCGTCACAGGTGTGACGGACCATCACAGGCCCTTCACCCAAAATCAAGTTTCTGAACTATGCGACGGACAGCAGGACGGACTGTCGCAGGCGCGACGGCCCGTCACAGCTTGCGTAATCCCAGTTGGAGTCGGATTTCTGGTTAAGTTTTAAAGGGGCGTTTTGGACTATTCCTGCTATAATTATATATTTCGTGGGTTTATTGTAACGACCTGTTTAGTCGTTTTGAGCAGTAGATTTTATTTCTGGAAAAACAGGCAGAGGCGACGAACCCAACGACGGACCGTCATGGGCACGACGGACCGTCGCAGGGTCTCGTTTCAAAACACTTAGAAAATCTGAAATTGGGTACTGAAAATCGACTCTCTAAACTTCGTAACGGAATGGCAGGACGGACCGTCACAGGCGTGACGGACCGTCACAGATAATTCAGTGGAAATTGAGTCTCTGACCCTTGTGACGACCTGCAGGACGGACCGTCGCAGGCACGACGGGCCGTCGCAGGTTGCGCAATCCCAGTCCGAATCGGATTTCTTTATATGTTTTAAGGGACGTTTTTGACTAATCCTGCTTTAATTATAAGGTTAGTGGGTTAATATTAATAACTCAAATTCTTGGGGGTTAAAAGAGGTAACCTTAAGTTAATTAGTGGGGTATTATTGCCATCTTTTATTCTTAATTATATACTAATTTAGGTAAAAGAAAGAGGGTTTGAATAAGAAAACAGAAAGAACAAAAAGGGAGAGAGAGAAACGATCGACAGAAGAGGAAAGCACCAAGCTTTGAGGATTAACTTGCTTGATTTCAATTCTTCGGTGGAGGTAGGTTATGGTTTTCATGCTATTCGTAGTAAACTCTTAATAGCGAATGATATGTGTTAGTAGTATTGTAAACCTTCTATATGCTTAATTGTATGCTTGCATGAATGATGTAATTATGTAATTGTGAATAAATAAGCATGATGAAGCTATTGAATCCCAAATCTTGAAAAGAAACCCTAATCTACTTTGTTAGTGCCTTGGTATAAAAGAAGGCTTGATGAACGAAAGTGGTGAGATTAGGGGATCGGGTGCCACATTCCGGTACCAGGATAGAATATGGATCGGGTGTCACGTTCCGACACCAGGATAGAATATGGATCGGGTGCCACGTTCCGGTACCAGGATAGAATATGGATCGGGTGTCACGTTCCAACACAGGATAGAATATGGATTGGGTGCCACGTTCCGATACCAGGATAGTATATGAGAATCGGGTGTCACGTTCCGACACCAGGAT